CCCCTACTGAAGGACCTTGTTTATACAAAAATGAACAGCCAATGAACGACAGACACGTGGCTAAACCACGGCCATTTGGTGCCTTCGGCACATACCTTCGGTAGAAGACCTGCCGATCACAACATTAGGGCAACCTCGCCCCTCTGGACACGTGACAGTCCCCCAATTGATGTCCAGAGTCCCACATCGAAATTCTAAACAAGTCGCACGCCTCCCAAGGCCTATAAAGGAGGACAATCATCCCAGCTTGGAGGTAATCAATCAGAACTTAGGGCATACTGCCTATTGATCTGTAGTTCAAACTTACTAAATCCGTACTTATTAAAGCATCGGAGAGCCTTCGGCCGGTACCACACCGGTGCCATAGGATTTACCGTGTGTTTGCTATCTTACAGATCGCACACCCTACCGAGGACATCAGATACCGAAGAGACTAAATCACTAAGTTGCGCGGGAAAGTGCCGAACCATTTTTCTGCGTCAACACTTGCTATATACTGGAAGAGATTTAGAAGCCATACTTGTCCAATTGATCTTAGGTTGCCTCCAGGGCCATGGAAGCTACATCTGATTGGAAACTTGCACCAGTTGGCTGGCTCTTTACAACATCATTGCCTGACAGACTTGGCCAAGAAGTATGGGCCTATCATGCACCTCAAACTGTGACAAGCATCAACCATAGTCATTTCATCACCACAATTAGCTGAAGAGGTGTTGAAGATAAACAAGGCCGCTTTCTCTGACCGGCCGGCCAGCGCTTATCGCTGCTGAAATCTTTTCCTACAATTGTGCAGGTCTCATCTTTGTTCCTGATAATGATCACTGGAGAGAAATGAGAAAGGTTTGCATGCTTGAGCTCTTGAGCGCGAAACGGGTGCGGTCTTTTGCATCGATAAGTAACGAAGAGGCATCGAGTCTAGTTCAATCAATCTCCTCATCTGAGGGTCATCCTGTCAATCTTAGCGACATGATCTTCAACATGCAGAATTGCATTACTGCCCGTGCAGCCTTGGGGAAAAAGTGCAAACATCAACAAGAATTTATATCATTGGTGGAGGAAATGGGAAAGTTCGTGGTGGGCTTTGATCTGCCTGATCTCTTCCTTTCGCTTTAGCGCCTCCGTTGTGTCACTGGTTTGAAGCTTGCCTTGGAGAAAATACACCGAAAGATGGATAGGATTCTAGAGGAAGTCATCAAAGACCATAGAAAGAAAAGAAAGGCCGCCTTTGCATTATTAACCAACAAAAATAACAAAGAATCATGCCATCAGGAAGAAGAAGAAGATCTAGTTGATGTGCTTTTACAACTCCAGGAGTCTGGTGAACTCCAAATTGATCTCACAAACACCATAATCAAAGCCGTCACGCTGGTACGTATGTACATAACGTTACCTCTATGAGTGTTATAATCTACTTCTTTTGTTTCTTGACTAATTAATTTCTGTTCTGTCAAGGTCATCAGGACATGACATTATAATTAGTTGGTACGAAAATGATATTAAGTGAATAAAGTACTTCTATTTTTCTTTCATTTTTATAGGACTTGTATTTTGCTGGAAGTGAGACTGCAGTGGCTACCACAGAATGGGCAATGTCAGAACTTGTGAGAAATCCTAGAGCAATGGAGAAAGCACAGGCGGAGGTACGCCAAGTTGTTGCTGGATTGGGAAATGAGAAAAAACTTGAAGATGCAGACATGAAGAAGCTAGACTACTTGAAGATGGTGATAAAAGAAACTCTATGATTACACCCTCCTCTTCCCTTATTCCCAAGGCAATTAGCTGAAGCAGATGATGATTATCAAAGCGGCTTATTATTACATAAAATTGGCAGGTACGATATACCAAGTAAATCGAGAGTGTTAATCAATGCTTGGGGGATGGGGAGAGACCCTCAACACAGGGAAAATCCTGATTGCTTTATACCTGACAGGTTCCAAAGTCGCCGGGTTGATTTTTGAGGGAACGACTTCAAATTTATTCCATTTGGGGAAGGTAAGAGAATGTGTACAGGCATATTATTTGAAACTACATCCGTTGAGCTTGCACTTGCTCAACTGCTCTACCACTTTAACTGGAAACTCCCTCCCCCCTCCCCTCCTGTTGTCTTAAAAAATGCCTTTAATGCCACTGAAGAAGAAGAAGATCAAGAGCAACAGCAACAGCTTCAGCTTGACATGACGGAACCGATCAAGTTGGCTGCTATCAAGAAGAATGACTTGGATGTTATCGCCATTCCTTTCATTCCCTGATGATCACTTCACTACATACAGCGTTGTTGTCGCTGCTGCTGTTGTTTGTAAGTGGTTTTCTATTTATTTTTGTGCCATCTCATGTGGTAGATGACATGAGTTGCCATCTCATCTGTCACATAAGTTAGTGTCATCAACATAGTAAATAAGATCTTTTGAGGGATTTAGTTTGCCATCTAGTTAACTGGGGATGCTAAAGGACGTGAACTTGTGGGGTGCTAAGAACAGTCACCCACGCACTTATAGATGAATGTTAACTGTTGATGCATGTGAGTGCAGCTGATAATAGTCTACATGCATCAACGGCTGACAATCACCCAATCCTTATCATAATTCACACGTGAACATAAACAACAGTAAAGATCACCAATTACGATTCATTTGACCTAACTTGAGAAAGCAGTAAAAGAATGGTGCTCTCTTGTTTTTCATTACATATGTGTGGTTATCTCAATCATCCCCAAACAAGAAATGGTGATGGCAGATCAGTAATATCATCCCCTCATAAGAGTTTCCTCTTTGCCCTTCTGGTGAGCTTGTAAGACATGCTCGACAATAAATAATGTTTGGAAGAGAAGGAATATATGCAGAAACATATTATTCAGAATTTACTCCCTAAGAAAGCTCCACGGTCCCGTTCCCGTTCCTATCCTGCAAAAGGTTTCATGCTGTTGAAGCAACTTTGAATTTACAGATCACCAAATATGTTATGACAACAATCTTTGTTAAACAATTTAGTTCAACTGGATATTTACCTCCAAAATCCAACCAGTGCGCGCAAACTCATAAAGACAGATAAAGCAACCCAGATACCAACAAAGCCGTGGCTTGATAATAGAAATAGGCACAATATGCTCACTAAAGCCACCAAAACCTGGAATTAACAGAGAATAGTCACACAGAGAGAGAGAGAGAGAGAGAGAGAGAGATTTTTCTGTACAGACATCTATTCTACCACTGGTAAACAAGAAGCAAAATAAAAAATAATTGATTAAGAGCGCAACAAGCGTTAGACTTGCCATTGAGTATGCAGAATATGCAAAATCTGACGCTCCATAATTGACTCCATCAAAAACAAATGCTAAAGCATTAATAGGTTGAGTCACTGAAACAAACTAGCCAAAACAAAAACAAAAAAAATAAGTCTCAGCTCTAAATTGCCCTGGAACTATTGGAACAAGAAAAAAAGAAAAGTCATTTGTTTCTTTGCTTGGGCAGAAGGGGAGAGAGATACCGGGATGCCTAAACTTATAAGCTGCAAAACGTTGATGTCTTTTGTAAATATTCTGGAGCCAAACTGTAATACAACTGTGAGGATGATCGAGAGCATTAGCCCTAGAACCAAAGCCAACTGCATAATAGAACCATAAGCAATTCAAAATATGACAAGGAAAAAGAGTAAATTGATATGTTCAAAAGTTAGGTTACCTGCAATACACGTGAAGCTGTGGCGACAGCCTTGCTGTAATCTTTCCTTGCAAAGGCGCTTGCAAGGATTGCCTGAAAGTGAAGTAGGACGGTGTTATAGATGATAAGAAACAAGAGAATTACAGCAAATAAAACAAGGCTAAGACTGCCTTAAAACAGAGCAAAATTTGATTCTTAACATGAGCAAAACATAATTTCTGAAACAATATGTACAGAAGATAGTCTATATATGGCCAAACACCAAGCTCATAGGTTGTAGATTTTTACTATGCTTGATACAATTTCTAAACATTCTTAAGTGAAGTGCAATTCTTATTTGAACATGATAAGGTAAGTCCACAAAATTGTGGGATGTCAGGAATGTAAATTACCATCATATCAATCCATTCTCTTTTCAAAATCCATTACTTACTTGTCCAGCCACAGCCAAGCCGTCAGCAAGCAAAGAGGCTGCCAACCAGATCTGCAAGCAAACTTGGAATGCAGCCATTGTCGTTGGTCCCTGCCTTGCAGCTAATGCTGCTGCCAGAGTAACACAGAATGTTGCAGCTATCACCCTCACCAATAACAAAAACCCTGATCCAAGACCAAAAAATTAAGCTATAGAACAATCAACAAGAAACTATTTTCTAATAGAAAAACCATAGACCAGAAGATGAGGAACTAGTGAAGGAATTTTTTTGTTTGTTGAGAATTTAGATTATAATAGAAGGGCCAACACGATAAATTCTTATAAAATAACTTGAATGTCAAACAAAATGATCGTAATACCTTTAATATAATAACAAACATTTTAACTTCATGAAAACCTGCTCGAGAAGATATGGGAACTCGACTATAGGCTATCAGTGTTTTTGTACATATATTAAGACATATTTGGGGCCTTGAGTTTCAATAATACCAAAGATACGGATTCATTATCTAAGGACTGGTGAAATTCTACTTGCAGATTATTTACTTACAAAGAAAAAAAGAAATAGAAGCCTCTACCATTTTTCAGAAACTGGCCAAATCGTAGATCTTTGACACCTGAGGTTAGGAGATCAACTTGCTTGTTTAATTTCCATATCAATATCAGGGAGATTAAGTACCTACAATGATCACAAATCAAGTGAAACAGCAGCAAAGATGCCAAAGAGTGTCATTTATACTAACAAAAAAAGAAAAAGAGAAGAAAAGAAGTCTTGGCAAATGGTCTGAACTAATCAATTACTATCAGCCAAAGATAAGCTTACTGAGAAATAACATGGGCAATGGCCGCACCTCTAACACCCATATGGAATACGAACATTAATATTGGGTCCAAAATGATGTTTGCTACATCTCCCACAACTACATGTTAAGAAACAAACCATGCAGAAGGATTTCAGTCAAATTAACCCAACAAAGATGACGAGTTCATATCCTTCATAGCAGAATCTGCTCAATAGAACAAAATTTAGAATTACCCCCAACAAGTAATGAAATTGTTAATCTAGACAAAATATGTGCATATACACATACTTAGTAACAATATATATTCTGGTGTTTGCAAAGTTTTAGATCATTGATACTTTCTTCCTGATTATTTAGCAGTATAAGCAGTTGTTAAACAAAAAATAACTGGAAGACTAAATGTCCAAGTCAATGAACAGATATATATGGGATTCAAGCATTCTACAACTTGGATCAACTATCAAATGCAATCTTTTCATAAGACGGATGCATAAAATATAATACAAACAGTGAATTAAATGAAACAGATTCCTAACCCCCCGACAACGGAAAACAAGTCAAACCCAGGATTAATGGTTGGTATTTACATTTTTACATACGAAACTGAGACTAATGCTATCGTTTGATCATGATTAAAAGAAACTTGAAAACTTACGCCAGTATCACTTCCCTGGAGGTGAAGATAAGACAAGAATGGAGGATTGCTAGTTTTGAGATTTTATGCTTGAAAATGAGAATAGGATCAGAATGATATAATGACAGGATGAAGAAAGAATAATGGAGGACACAAATGATGTCCCGGACCCAATCCAATTCAATTTGATAGTCATCCCCCTGGATCTGATATATTGGCATAGAAATTATGAATGCCATCATGACATGGATCTTCATAATGATCTTCCATTGCAGAAGGAAATTATTCAGTTCAAATTCTGGGAGAAGATTATACTTGTTTCAAAAGCTAATGAAGTCACTGCATTTTTTTGGGTCATGCTCGTGTTTGTGCCTAAATAAATCACGGTCGTCAGAAGGGACCTCTTCTCGGCCGTGGCACCTGTTCATGGACTGAAACGGCCACGTTTCGTCAGACATTTAGCCTTTTCGAAAACAGAAGGAAAATACGAAGGCAGGATCTTCTCGGCCTCACAACCACGGCATTATGGGCCGAGACCGAGGTCCATGAGAGACACGGCCAAAGATACTATGGTCAAATCGCCACGTGGCCTCAGGGTCCCACACCCCATTTAATGAAGTAGTGCCTCTGACCGCCACAGCAAAACCACTGGGTGCAAGAAGCATTTAATGCACGAGTGCAGAAGGGAAGTGATTAAAGTT